ATCACTAAGATCAGCAAGCGCTTCATCAATTTTTGAGATAAGATTGGTGTAATACAATAGAAGCCTTTCTCTTTCCAAGTTTAAAAGTTTCTCTTTCTCGTCACATCGTTTTAGGATTAAGTACATTTCAATAGCCTTCCTCTTTGTGTATACTGGGACCGAGGCTTCCCCTAGAATGTCATCCTCACCAGACTCAATTCCCTCATAAAGGTCTGATGTAGGATCTTTCGCGTTGTCAAATGTCAGACGATCGGGTAAACTGTTTATAAAATCACGAAGAGAATCAATGGCAGCATTGTGTTTCTCAATTGTTAATTTCATCTTGTTCGTGATCTTGGTGATTTGCCTGGACAAGCGAGTGGCAATTTTCTGACCATCTAAACAAGTAAAAGGAATACAAAATTAACATTTACAAGAACAACAAAAGACAGATATGGTAACATAGCTTAGGTTACAAGTATTCGAAATTTACAGTGCATTACAGTACCTGCATACTTTTTCAATGTTATTAAGAAATGCCTTTCTATGGAAAGTCCATGTAAAGCTCCGATAGTATCGTTTCGTTTTCTTTGTATGACTTGCAATGCGACGACGTCAAAATTAGGATGACCAGGTTTCCATCTTTCTTTTACAGAATGCTTTCGTTCAATATCTTTTAAAATCTTTCGAAACCTGTTTACATAAATTTTGCGCGTATGTAAAAAAAACTTTAAAGCAAAATATTGCTTTGACACATTTATACATACTGGTATAGTTTTTTCGACATCTGATGAATTGAGTAATCTTCAGCTGTTATCTCCTGGTTTTCTTCAAAGCATCCGAATGATGTAGCACTAAGAATTTTATAATTCACCAATTAGGCTCAAAAGAAATATTAAAACGTCTATAGGCATGTATTATAGAGAAATAGCCAGTTTAGTACATTAAAAAACCTACCTTAGTTGTTTAAAATGCAGTAGCTTTTGAACGTACGTCACTTTCCAGTTCTCCGTGATTTCTTTATGTTCTGTATTTAAAAGTATGTCTTTATATCCTACAGACTGAATTGTTAAGAATGAAACTATTTGCCATGAATAACATTATATACCTGGGTAGACTCTTGACATAATTTCCTTCTCTCTGGCCTCCCACTGACAAACAATTTCAGGATCGTACGTCACTAACAAACAAAATAAATTCTTATTTCCTTAGATGCAAATTGAATTGAGAGTTTGGTTAGGCAAAAAGAAATCTTAAATACTTTTCGGCAAAAGAAAACATAAGAAATTTTTAACCTACCACAACTACTTACCAGGTAGTTCGCTAAATAAATCCTTCATTTCCTGTTGCGTTTTAATTTTAAGTTGTAGACATTTTTTAAGCTTCGACGTTAACGATTTTCCTGAAACAAATCATATACAAAAAATTAAAACAATTAAGGCGCAACAAACAAATAAAAACATTCTCATTGTGTCAACGCATAAAGCAATGACAATATTCAAGCACCTGCATTGCTAAAATTTCTTCGAGATAAGTGAAGAAGAGCGTCTGTCAAAAGATCTACTCTTCTACTGGCAGACATCTCCTTAGTAATGGCTGAGAACCCACGAAGGTAAGCCCAGAGCCTTTCAATAGCCTCACCATCTGTAAGACCAAAACCATCGAGCCTTCTAGGACTGAACTTGACCTGTTTTTTTGAAGACATTAAAAAATAATATTTTACCTACGGGGCTTTTATCAAGGAAGAAACCAGAGCAGAAAAGATTGTCTTTCTTCAATCGCTACATCATTACCCAGGGATGTACTTTTCTGGAGGGGTGCTCTAGTTTGGATAAGATTCTAGTGGCTGCTTGTTGCCGTAACATGCAAGACATTTTCGTTAAATTTTGTTACTTATATAAAATGATTGGAGATTTTTGAAATTGTGCTCCATAAACCCCAATTACGATCGCTTGATGGTTTGATATACATAAATTTCTTAGGAAAATGCCACTCCTCATCCATCTCCACTAATCAAGGTTGGAGGAGAGCACATTTCCGCTATCCCGCCTCTTAATCCATCCTTGTCATTACCAGGTACAAAGCTTTTTCATTACCTGGCATGAAGCCTTGTGTCCATAACAATGAAATATCGGCACCGAAATTGACACTTTTGACAAAATGTCATGCCTCTTGTTTGCCTAGAACGGTACCAATTTATTCAAAGTTTAGTTGGTGAATGAACTTGTCCCACATCATACATGCCAACATTAAGATACCTTTAAATGTGATGATAATACACATCCAATATCATACATTATTTTTAAATCAACACCAGGACTTTGGTCAGCATCTTTTAAAATGCTTTGGATTAGGAACAGCGAATACGAAATTCTGAATATTAATAATAAGACACTAAATATTATTAAAGGGTAATAATAGATCTCGTTAGCACAGAATCGTTTTGTCCTTTGTCCCTTTATTTCAAAATTGACACAGGAAAAGAAATTATAAATCGACGATTTGTTCTCCATACTACCTCATCAAAGATCAACAATATTGATAATTACGTGCAAACCAAGGCTAAGACACTAACCTTTCCCCATATTTAGTGCTGAAAAATCGTCCAGGGTGTGAATGCCGACTGCAACAACTACCAAACACTCCTTTTCATCAAACAGTTGATTTTTCCTTTGGAGTGAAGTGCTTCTGTAACTTCTCCTGCCTTAAATATCTGACAACTCTAAAATAAGTTGGAGCACATTATAGATTAGCACATACATAACAATTGTTTTATTACTATAAAAATACATGACAGTTTACACAATCAAGTCATAGACCATGCATAGACATGATAAATTAAAAAAAAAAAAATTGGCTGTTTGTAATTTTGATTTTAAATCCACGTAGCTACTTACGTATGTATGAGGGCCCATGGACCTGCATGAAGCATAGACCTACTTTTCTCAGGGGCGAAGCCTGCCCAATCTTTTACTCTTACAATGCTAATTTGTCAGCAAAATTGTTAATAATTTCTTTAGAAAATCAAATCCATTCATTGTTTTTCCAGTGATTTAATACAAAAATATTTGCAATGTAAAAGTAAAAAAGTGCTGGCTTTGCCATTGCTTTTCATTGGACTACATATAAAGTTTGTTTTCAAACTATTCACTACCCTCCCCTTCACAGAATACTTTTGAAAAGGCTACAAAGTCCTTCATCATGCAATAATTACCTCTCCTACTTTGTTATTAGACTTGCTATAATGATCAACAAAATCATCTACTTCATCCTGATCAGCAAACTTAAGGCAGCCATGGTTTGGGACGGCAAAACTATTCCCTGCCAACTTTTTGCGAGTTAGACCAAAGCAAGCATCCATGGAATGAATGGCCACACCTAACTCACCAGTCTAAAGCAAACAAAGCTCTTTAATAAAATGAAACGAATTTTATGGTAAACATGTAACACTTCATATTTCACAACAACTTTAAATGTTCTGATAATATATGTGACAAAAAACATATAATTTAAAATAGTTCACAAAGCAAATAGTAGAAAAAAAGAAATCAAATACTGACTTGTGGGCAAAGAGGGCAATTTCTATAATCAATCAGGTCTTTCTGTATGAACTTTAATGATCTGACTTGGTGTTTGAAATATCTGACAAAAAAATCAAATTCTTAAATGATATAATATATACAGTCAAACCTCTTGTATTAAATGACCCTGTACTAAGCAGATACTGTGCAAAATCCAAAACTTAATCTCATATAGCTAATAATAATGGAAGTATAATGATGAAACCTCAATCAAGCTGACACTTTCATTAAGCTGACACTAGTCTGTTGTCCAATGGTCTGTACTTAAAACAGGTTAGACTGTACTACTCTACACACATAATCTAACTATTAGGTCTACATTAAATGTAAATAGACTTTTGTTTTATAACATATAACATACCTGTATTCATCAAATGATCCATTGTTTAACACATTATAGATGTTTTTGACCTTAACAAGAATAAAATGAACACCTAGTAAACTTGTGCATTTGTTTCAAAAATAAAATAAGGTTGAATACACAAAGTTATAACAGCAAAGGAAACTTCATGTACAATTTGAATGTGCTCTTACCTTATTTGAGGCAAATACACATTACTTATGTTGTTTGTAAATAACAGTGATTCAATAAATTTTTTTTGCAAAGTACAACCCATCTATTTCCACTATTTGATGGGTAGACTATCATATGGGTGCACAATTCAGGTTTATGAGAAATACATACCAGTCTAGGTAGCATTTCAGGATATTCAACTTCAACAGTGCTGCAAAATTTGTGCAAGGATACATGGCTCTCGAGCAAGAATTTTTCAGCAAAATCCATTCTGCTTTCTTTGCTGGTATCCCATCTTCTAAACATTTTAGGTCAGGAGAGACAAACATAGCCTTCAGATGGCACAGAAAGCAATCTAAATTGGCTATCTTCCGCATTCTAAAATTTAGAACTCTGGGTAATACCCATTTAGAATGGCCGAAGTGTTTTTCTCACAAGACCAAAACAAGCATCCATTGATTCAATCAGAGTACCAGCTTCATCAGGCTATCAATGGCTGAAATGAATAACAATGATGCTTTTAGAATGAAGACATTAACAACTTCCCTAGAACTGTTTTAAATATTGTGTTTAATGGCTAAATGTGTACAACTCCCAGAACAAATGTCTATTAAATTTTAGAATAAGAAAGCTAGCTATGAACAATTGCAAGAGATGCACAATTATAAATTTAGTACTTTGGGACAAAGAGGGCACAAATATCTCCCTGGGACATGTTGCTTTACAAGCGGGTAACCATTTCTCAACAAATGCCGATGATACCTGCGAAATAAAGAAACCACTAAAAATTCAATCATACACTATTACCAGAGCAATCATGAGACTTCAAGATCACATCCCTCAGTCTTTCTACAGTACTTTTCGCATCTAAGTTTACACAATAATTATAGTTTATGAAACTAATTTATATTACAAACCGAAACTCATCAAATGAGTTGCTGTTCAGTGTTGAATACATGTTCTTAATCTATAATGAAATAAAACAATTACAACAATATACACATGCACAACAAGAGCAGGAGCAGGGTGAAATATTTAATCTTTTGTAATGTGCCTTTCTATGAAAGATTAAGGTTACAGTTCAAGAAAACCAAGTTTTTCTATGTTTTAGGCAGGTAACTAGTAATTGTTACAAACTTTTAACAAGCTGTTGCACTGCTCTGGGGTATCTATATCATGGGCAGCTGTGCAAACAGGATTTTTGAGGGAGGAGATGGGAAACACTCCTAAAATGTCCCTTAAACTTACAATGCACTGTTTGATATCACACACCTTTTCAAGTTCTATAAATAAAGACCAATGTGGGAGAAATATTGGGAGGGGGACAGTACCCCCTTGTTGGCAACACAGAATGAAGGTACACATGTATTTCTTTTTACACAGTTGAAATGAATACTTACCCACAATGGTAAAGAGGAGCACTTTGTCCATATTTTTAGAGCATCGCAGAATTTTCAAGTGAAACATGACATTCAAGAAGTAAGGTTTCAGCCAACTCCATCATCTTAAAATGAAAAGCTAAAGAGGGACGAGTAGCACTGCCAGGCCAAAGTTTCAATCTTATTAACGTTATTGAATCTTTTTCACACTCACAAAACAGAATTTGTTTCTGATGTTGCCGGCCTATTTGAAAAATACACTGCAAGTTCTGGTTATCATCATCATCAGCATCATAATGAAACATACAAAGATCACAAAGAAAGAGGGTAGGTGGTAATTAAACATGAGCTTTGCAATAAAATTTAGAATTTACCATGAAGCTAGTATTTAAAGAAGAAATATTGATTTAAAAATGAGCATGCAAAGACCTTATGTATCAACAAAATGCTAAGGTTGATAAATTATCAATCATTAAGTGACTATATCTAAGCTAGTAAACAAACCATATTGGTCAATGCAAATGACATTTCTTGCTTGAGCACTATGGCAAGATTTCTGATGCCTTGCTGAAAGAATACCATGATTGGGAAAGTAAGGTAATGTATACCCATCCTAAAAACATAATGCAAGCTATGTTTCAATAGCAGTTTATACAAATGTATGATACAATGACCATGATGACATGAATTGAAATCAACGTTTGATCACCAAACTTATACACCACAAAACGTCATCATAACTGAATTTATCTCTATTCTTTCCATCCATACCTTAAACCGTTCAAGCACATGGAAGTAGTTGCTTGTTTCGTGAGTGCTGTCAGCACAACCTTTGCAAAATATTTTTCGTGTGCGCATTCGTTACAACGAAATTCTACCCCAATCACACCACATTCAGAGCATTTTTCTTCGTTAAGAAAAACTTCTTCTTCAATTCTTCCGTTTAACAAAGACTCTCGAATGGTGTGCCAGCCTTGAAATTCCTTTTCCCGTCTGTTCTGATAGTTTGTTGCATAAGCATGCTCTTCATCACAGTAACCTTCACCTTCATCAAACTCATACAAATTATGTCGTTCTATCGCACTAGAAGGGACATTTGTTGACTTTAATTCATTTGAAATACGATTTGAAGCTTTCAGAGCAATATTCTTCGTGATTTTTTTGCCACTCGTAGAGATAGATCGAACGCGAAGTTTGCAAGATTTGAATCGCTTTGAGGGGCGAGTAGCCATTTTGAACCAAATGTACGGAGCTGCACAGAGCTACACATTATCTAAAGAAACTGGAACCTAGTGTAACATATCTTGTAGAATGCGCGGAATACATTCTATTGACGCTTCGTAACGCATTTCTAAAAATTAGAACTAACGCTTTAAGCGTTTTAGAATTGGTGAAACGGGTG